TTTGAAGGCTCTGGTCGCCACTGGAGTTGGTAGTATTACGGCTGGTGTAAAACCTCTGTCAGACATTCCAGCACCTGGGCAGCCTCTGTGTGGTGTCTACTGATTATCATTCATCACTTAAATTGAGATTTTCCTGCTTCTGGGTATGATAAAACTCACTTTCTATTTGCATTTTCTATTTTAGTAAGCAGTCACATTGTACGGATTCACAATGAATGTTTCTGCCATCTCTTTAAGGGTTTTGGTTCAAATGTTAATTTAAGTTAAAATCTTTTCCGTATTGCAGTGCAATCATTCTGCTTTGAGTGATCACAAGGACATGTGATAGTACGGTTTTATGATTTATCACTAAACCGTATTTATGGCTTACTTGATTTTGGAATTGCAGCATCACTTTTACAATAAGATGTTGAACAAATACAGCAAAAATGGAAGAATTCTAATTGCAGTTCAACTCACATTCAAGTAAGTTAAAAGAATAAGATACTTCTAGGTGTAATGTTAAAAAAGAGGAAGTGGGTAGGGAGTAACAACTGCCATACTACCAGTTATTCCGCTTCTAGGATCCAGATGTTAAGGGTCTCATATGCAATTCTGTAGCTTAGAATAAATTACATAAAGCCCTTTATTAGTGACAATGAAGATGGTGAGAGCATATAAAAAATAAACAAAATGACAGCACATAGTAAGCTATGGATAGCATAGTGTCACAAATTCAGAAAAGTTCCTTCAGTCCCAGCAAGTATTTCAAGAAATATTTACATTCTTGTCAAAAATGCCTAAACTGTGAAATCACTTTGGCAAGAACTTTGAATGAAGGAACTAAATTTACAGTTTACTGTAAATCTTGCCTAAAGTATAAATATACTACTCAAAATTAAGAATTATAAAGTGATTATTGGCAAATGTCACCAAGATTAAAAATGAAGAAACAAAGCAAATGACAGAGTAACATATGTAGAAAGTCTGATAAAATCTGCAAAAAATTTTCCTGATCTAATAAGCAGTTTTGGCAAAACTGCAAAATATAATATCAATATATAAAATTCAACTGTATTTTTACATACTTTCAATACTAAGATATGCTTATAGTAAAATATAAACAAAAATGCAAAGGATTTATAACAATACTTTGAAAAGAAGAACAAAGTTGGAGAAACCAGACTATCCAAGTTTAATACTTACTGAAAAGATACTGTAACCATGATGGTGTGGTAATGACAGAAGAGACATGGCTATTCTACCTGGGTTTTAACAAAAGCCATACAGTAATGGGAAAAGGCAAGACTTTCAACAATGGCTCAAATAAGCAAGAAAATGAATCTGAATTATTGCTTCATATCATAACTCCAAAAGGATCACAGACCTAAATGTACTAGCTCAATTATAAAACTAGAACTGGAGAGGCAATGGTTCCATTTGAGAGTGCTTGCCTGGCATATACAAAGCCCTGAATTCAATCCCTAGTGCCAGCAAAATAAATAAAAAATAGGCAAATGAATAAATCTCCTAGAAGAAAACATGAAAAAAAAAATCTAGCCACCTTACCTTTAGCGAAAGTTTCCTAAGTGCAAACTATAAAATACAATAGGATTTCATTAGCTTACAAACCTTTGCTTTTCAAAAGACAGTGATAAGAAAATAAATGGATGCTAGAGAGATGGTTAAGAGCACTAGCTGCTCTTCCAGAGGACCCAGGTACAGTTCCCAACACCCACATGGCAACTGACAACTGCCTGTAACTGGCTTGCTTGGTGATCTGACACCCCTTTCTGGACTGCAGGCACTAGGCATGCACATGGTGCATACACATACAATGCAGGCAAACACCTACACAGAAAAAATTTTAAATCTTAAAAAAAAAGAAAGAAAGAAATAGGTATGTTACAGATTGGAAGAAAAGATTTCCAGGATTCCTAATAAACTCAATCTAGAATAAAGAGCCTCAATAACTCAATCATAAGAAAACAAATATCCCAACTAAAAGTTAACCAAAAGATTTGAACAGGTCCTCCATTAAAGAAGGAATAAGGGAGTTGGGAAGACAGCTCAGTTGGCTTGCCTCACTAGCACGTGGACCTGAGTCTGACCTTTGGCACTCATGTGAAAAAAATCTGGGCATGGTGGTGCATCTCAAAACAAAACAAAATGGTGGTAAGCACCTGAGAAGTGACACCTGATGTTGTCCCCTGCCTGTCCCAAGTGCATGTGCACTGCTAAACACATGCACCAACACAAACATGTGCGCGCGCGCACACACACATATGCACACATAGGATAGGATAAAAGATGGTAAACTATGACTATATGATATTTTCTTTATCTATTAATTGGAAAAATATCAAATCCATGAGCATCTGAATTATTATGGAAAGCAAATGGAGTAATTTTATGAATGCGTCCACTTCTGTGATTGTCAGTTTGGGATGCATGGCAAAGGGAAGAATGAGTGAAAACCTGATAAAGTTTTCTCAATCTGAAGAACAAAACAAAAAACAACAAACTAACAAAACAACAGCAACAACAAAAACCAAGAAATTAAACATACATTCTACTCTCAGGTAAAAAGAATGAAAGCAGAAGTCCACATAAACATCTGTATACAGATGTCCAAGAGTTTATTCATAATAGCCTCAAACTGGAAGTAACTAAATGTCCCTCAAATGGCAAATAAATAAGTAAATGGTGTATCCACAAGTGTAATGTGACTCATAATTAAAAGTAACGAAATACTGATCCATACAATGTGACCCAAGGAGTCAATTTTAAAAGAGAAACAGAAAGTAAAGCAGATGGCAGGTACTTGTTACAGTGTGAGGCACTGTGACCAGATCATAGTTTAAATACAATGGCTCAAAGTTTAATGAGTATGTGGAAGCTTACAAACCATTGTTATTTCCATTTTATTAATAAACGAGATGATGGTTCTGTACCACCAGCTGTTCACAGTTCACTGAATGAGGACCTAGTTGATAGGAGATAATTACCTCTTCCCTGTAGGAGGTAAAGTGGTTCTCATTCTGCAGACTCCTCTAATGAATGGTCATGGGAGTATGAGACCAAGAGAACATGCCAACATCAAGTTGGATTTTAATGACCCCTAAACACTGATCACCCCCATTTACCTGTATGAAAACAGATGCCTTAAAATATACGAAGCATGTCAAGGACTGCCCTTTTGCTTCTAAGGTAAAGGAAAAACAGTTCTTGCACATGGAAACTATGCTAGCATAGAATTGAAAAAGGATTGAGTGGAGGACATTTTGTGGTTATTTCAACTTGAAACACTTCTTACTCGTTTTTAAATACCTCTATTATTTCACTATTTTTTCCTCAAAAGAATTTTCTTTCTTATTTTTTATTGCCAGTTAAAGATGCTTCCATCCCCCAACATTTAGGCTCTTTCAATCACTTAGAAAGGTCCACTGATTCTATTTTTTCCCACTCTCCTGTCTCTCCTTCCAAGGCAAACTCAACAGCTCTCAGTTCTTCCTGCCTGCATGACGATCTTTGTCCTAAGTGCTCTGGCTGATTCCAGTCTCTTTAAATACTAAGACAGCTCAACCACACTACTACGTTTAGATTCTATCATTCTTTGTACCTTTTATGTATAAAGCTCTTTTAAAACTAGGTTGTCACTAGTGCACCACGCCCAGGGCCCTGGGTTCAATTCCTAGCACTCAGGGGACAAACAAACAAAACTAGGATGTTGTAAAAGCAAAACCAGGAAGTGTCTAATGAATATTAATAATAAAATAAAATTCAAAAGATCTTCCTTACAAACATCAAAGGTTATATGTATGCACATAAGTAAGAACTTAAAAAGAACACACAAAAAAGAAGACGTAAAAGGTCCTTAAAAGGCTGATCAGTATTTATTTCTTGTCAAAATGACATCTATAAAATAAATATCTTGCGGTAATCATTTAATGTTCATATACCATAGAGTTCGCCCTCTATAATCCAGCTCTCAATTCTCTGCAGCACACTTCGCATCCCTCTTTTTCACACAACCTAATACTCCAGACAAACTAAAGAGTTCAGGTCTCATTTGGAATCCTGTATTACTTTTTCCCTGCTATGGTCCACTGCTCACAACAAACTCTTCAGCTAGCATATCCTTTGTCTCCATTTCTGGATGTAGAAATCAGACTTGACCATCTTCACAGTTAGGTTCAGATAATATATCCTTCATAAACTATCCCTAATGTCTCCTTCTAAATGCCAATAAGCATTTCCAATAAAATACAGTATGCTCTTAATAGTATAGTTTGTGTATATGTGAACAAGTAACTCTTTTTAGGCTAGGCAGGGACCATGTTTTAGCCACTGTTACATTCCTGAGGCATAAAATACTGTCTCTCTGAATAAATATGTAAAATAAATAGTTAATTTTTTAAAAAGCACTTGAAAGACTTTTAAAAAGCAAACTTTAATTTTCACTTGTAGATGAATTTCTAAATGGTCTTATAGATTAAAAAAAAACATCAGAGCCAGATATAGGGGTGAAAACCTGAGAGATCAGAGGAATAGGAACAGCCACGTGCTAACCTCACCTCACCAACTTCACAGCTTCAAAAATAGTTAGTTACTTCCTGTCTACCCACGCCTATATGCCTTGCTGTTCTGCCTTCTGATTTGCTCTCTGTGTCCAGCTACATCACTTCCTCCTCCTGCCCAGCTCTGTCGCTTTCTGTCTGTCTGTACAGACCTCCAGACCTCCATGGTTAACTAGTGTTGGAATTTAAGGCGTGTGCCACCATGCCTGGCTCTGTGCCCAGTGTGGCCTTGAACTCACTTAGGTCCAGACAGATCCTTGCATCCCAAGTGATAGGATTAAAGGCGTGTGCCAACATTGCATGACTTTTGTGTTTACTTAAAATGGCTGGCTTTTTCTTCTGATCTCCAGGCAAGTTTTACTTTATTGGGAGACACAATACATCACCACATTCACTTTTTATGTTATTATGGTTTTTTTTTTTTTAACCTAACCTTCTTACCTGGAGATACGTTATTCTCCGCTGGACAAGCTCTGTCAGATCTTTGGCCTCTTTTTCCCGCCAATCACCTGCTCCATCTGTTTGACTGAGGTAGTATAGATCTGTCATGATAGACCTGTGAAAACAAGCAACATTGGAGGTCCACTTATTTGTACTGTTTCAATGGATTACACAAAACTATAAGGGAGCCAAATTCTTCAGAAATATTGATACTCAGGTGTATGATGATTTATCTTATCTTTTATTTTCAACTAAGACTATGAAATTTAAAAATTAAGTTTCTATGATCCACGATTGATCCCTATAGAAAATCTTTTCTGACGAAAAGATATACAACTTTTCCCCACAGGCCAACCAGCTACACTGTTCCCCCACCCTACCCCACCCCCCAAAAAAGAAAAAAAAAGTTCAAAGACTGCAATTCAGTAGACATGATATTGGTATTTGAATAGTACCATTGTATCCTCATTCTTTATCATTTCACAGCCCTCTTAATATTCCACTCTGAGTGAGTGGGAAAAGATTAGAGGAAAAACTTGACACAAATCTTAAAAAAAATGTCTTAAATAATCAAGGATTAACAAATTCCTTCTTTTAAAGGAACAAGTACTAAGATTTTAGGTTGTGTGAACATGTTTTTTTCTTTCTTTTTTTTTTTTTTTGAAGTATGCAATGCTTCATAAATTTTGATGTTACCCTTGTGCAGAGGCCATGGGAATCTCTGTATCATTCCAGTTTTCATATGCCTACTGCCAAAGGGAACATCATCCTCTGTTACCTTTGTAGAGGAAAGTTGTCATAGGCAATTCCATCTGGAATATTGTATAGCTACAATAGTCTTTTATAGTTACTAAGTTAAAAGACTTTCTAGGGCTTGCGTGTTCTCTGAGTGTCCCCAAGGGCCCCTCCCTCTCTCCCTGACTATCTGTCTGGCCTGTAAGCTCTCCCACACATGTCTCTCACGATGCTGGGAGGGCTTCTGCTCTAACTAAGCCAGAACAACACCAAGCCTGCAAACAAGTCTCTTCCCTTTACGAAACTGACTCTTTCAGATATTTCACTGTGGTAATGAAAACCTGCTTAACATACTGAGCACATGGAATTATGATTTCACCCAAGAAGCACAGACGTCTTTAACTATAATTGTGCTGTAATGCTCAGTTGGAAATTTAAAATATTATCTCAGTTTTATAAACTTCTATCATCACAACTCACTCATAGTTCTTTATACTTCATAGGCATCACAACATCCACTCATTTCCTCCTACTCATCAAGTAGTAATGGTCACAAAACGTACTGCAAAGCTCGGTGTTAAATAGCAGTATTACTGCTGGAGATAAAGCACAGTGAAATAAAAACCCAATCTATTAGCGAATGCCTACTGGAGGAAAGAAGGAAGCCCAATACGCTATGTGTAGCTTTACAATTAAAATAAATATGTAAATATACATGCACATATATAGATGGGGACAAAAAGCTGTAAGTTTTACTGACATTCATAGCTTCAAGTGGAGGGAAAACATATTAAGCTTAATTTGAAAGAAAGTCTTTAAAATATAAAAATTGTTGTATCTTAGGCTCTCTCCTTTTTTTGTCTTAACATAGACTCCTGCAATATAGTCCAGTCTAGCATCAAACTTGTGATTTTTCTTGTATCAGTCTCTAGAATGCTGGGATTATGGGTATAAGCCTCTACACCTAACTATGGTTTCTAGATTCAGATCTTAGAAATCAAGAAATTCCTGTACCATCAAAAATGGAAGCAGAGATCTACATTTCTTAATGAACTGGTAAATTAAAGGAGCAGCTTATTTGTAATCCAAGTCATTAGTACTAAGTCTCAGCAATTCATTCCATCCCAATCTGTGTAGGAGTCAGAATGATCAAGCAACTAGATGACCAAACATAAAAAAGAAAATTGCTCAATATCATTTGACACAGGAAAATGCCAATAAAACTACAATGTGGCAATCATTTCAACCAGTTAACAGGATAGTCACACATGCACACAAAGGATTTAAAGAAAAAAGAACTCTCAGACACTGTTGGTAGGGATGTAGATTAATTCAATTATACGATTCAGCTATCTCACTTCTAAATACATGTCTGGTATCTGAAAGAAATATAATCAGCATGTCAATGAAATATGTTTATTGCTGCATTATTCACAGTAACTGGAAAGTAGAATGACCTAAATGTCCTTTCTTAAATAAGAGGATAAACAAGTGTCTTAAGAGTTTCTATTGCTGATGAAAGACCATGGCCAAAGCAAATTGGGAGAGGAAAGGGTTTATTGGCTTACATATCCCAAGTCACAGTCCATTAAGAGAAGCTAAGGCGAGAACTCAAACTGGACAGGAACCCGGAGGCAGGAACCTGGAGGCAGGGGCTAATGCAGAGGTCATGAAGGACTGCTGCTTACAGGCTTGCTCCGCCTGCTTTCTTCTTATAGCACCTAGGATCACTAGCCCAGGGGTGGCACCACCTACAATGGGTTGGGCCCTCTCCCATCAACCACTAATTAGGAAAGTGCCCTATGGAGGGATTATATCAGCTGATAGTCCCTTGTGTCAGATGACTCTAGCTTGTGTCAAGCTGACATAAAACTAGCCAGCACAATAAGAAACCAATAAAAACCTTCCTTGTTATTTTTTCCTTGGTGGCATAATTGAGACAGATTAGACACCCCCTACATACACACACAGACACACAGACACACACACAGAGACACACAGACACACAGACACACACACACACACACACACACACACACACACACACACACACACGCGCGCGCTCTTTCACAAAAAAGTTTTAGGACTATAAAAGTAGAAAAAAATAACAAGAGAAAATACATAGAACGGAAGCAGCCAGTTTTTTAGATTAAGTTTCAACTGAATAGTGTTCAGCCATAAAGAAGACTGAAATCCTGTCAATCTCACCAAGATGGATGGAACTGGAACACACCATGCTAAGTGAAATATGACAGATTCAGAAAGGCAAGTACCACATTTCTCTTTCATATGTGAAGGTTTTTTTAAAGTCATCTTCAATATAAAATAGTGATAGCTAGAGATTAAGAAAGTGGGGGTAGGGTATATATAAAGGGGGACTAAACTTAGTCACTGTACAATGTACACATATATTGAAGCATTGCAAGAATTTCATTAACAACCATAATCAACATGTTAGGATAAAAATAAATAAGGCACAAGAATCAGTCAGAATACCCAATTGACTCTCGGTCTTAGATTTAAGTCTGATTTTAAATCCCATGCCCCCTTCTCCCTATCAGAGACTACACAAATAATTCAGTTATGACAGGGAACAAAGTTAAATTGGTATTCTTTCTTCACCAACTCAATGATGTCTGGAAGTTGCATTCCTACAAGATATAGTTTTCTGTGTTAAAGATCTGACTCTAATCAAATCAGAAAGTTATGGCCCATTACTAGGAATTATGATGATTAAAAAAGCATTCTGCAGAAACTCTTGATTTTTCAGGGATTCCATACCCTGAGCCATACTCCCTATAAAATCCTAAAGCTGGAAATTTTGCTCTTTGCTTTTATCACTAAAGTATCAAGAAATCTCATAGTTGGAAGTGAGGATGATAGCTTCATATGAGGCCACAGTGAGACTTAGCATATGTAAGCCTGAGCAAGGTTAGGTACCAGCAAAATGAGGGTAGAATACAGATGCCTGATGACAATAGGTACATTAGAACAGAATGTGGACTTTAGATTCAGCAGCCATGAGGGCTGTCAAAACTTCATTTCAAAAACTGTCTGTTTGTGTTATTGCATTTTCCCGAGTAATCTTTCTATTTTTCATAGTCATAAAACTTTTATGTGAAAATGGAGGATATCTAGTCTGTCTCAATTTTGCCATCAAGGAAACTATAATAAGGAAGGTTTTTATTTATTTCTGATTTAAAATGCTAAAACAAAATTTTCCCTCAAGGGCCAGTACAGTTATAATTCATACAAGAATCATCTGAAGGTGAAGATTCAACATATACTAAGATGAACTTGACTAAGGGAGATTTCTGAGAAGTCTAGTCCTGGGTAAATCTGGATCACGGACAAGAAAAATGATCTGAAATTTGTCTAATGTTGCTGTGATGGTTACTCTTCATTATCAGTTTCATTAGATTTGATATCTAATGAATTATTATGGAATAATACCTCTTGTGTAAGTCAGTGAGGGCATTTTCAAAAAGGCTTGACTGACTAAAGACTGGAGCTGAATGGAGGCAGCACCATCTCCGTGGGGGACCAGACTGAACAAGCAGGAAAAGGCAAGTGGAGTCCCTGCATGCATCTACTGGCTTCCTGACTGCAAACAATGTGACCAGCTGCCTCATGCCCTTGCCACCCCCAGCTGCCTGCATATGAGGCTGTGCTAGCAAACTGAGAATCAAAACAAACCTTCTGTCTTCCAAGTTGTTTCTTGTCAGGTATTTGATCACAGTAACAAGGAAAGTAACTGATACAGTTTCCTCACTTCTCTAGGTCTAAGAATAGCTAGCTACAAACAGGGTTAGAGTAACTCTCCCTTATCCATTGGAGATACATTTGAAGACCGCCACCCAGTGGATGCTCGAAACCATATACAGTACCTTTTTTTTCTATACATACAAACCTATGATAATGTTTAATTTTAAGTTCTGCATAGTAAAACTGAGTATTTCTACCTCTGCACTTTGTAGCTGTTACGAAGTACAGCAAGGACTACATGAAAACAAGCACCACAACACTGCGACAGTCCACCTGGTAACAGGGACAGCTACTAAGTGATTTACTGGCATTAGCATATTCAGATTGGATTGGATACACAAAGAAATGATTCACATCTTGGCAAGATGGTATGAGATCTCACTGTGCTACTTGGAATGATGTTCAATTTAAAGCTTGTAATTGTTTATTTCTGGAATTTTCCATTTAGTATTTTTGGATGGTGATTAACAATGGCTAAGAGACTAGAAAGCTAAACAACAGATAAGAAGGACTACTGTAATTCTGCTTACTTCAGAGTGTTACTAGATTGATAATGTGGTTGTACTGATAATGAATGAATACACTTTATCATTAGTGATTAGCATTAGACAATCC